ATTCCCAATGGGTTTCCTAAAATGGTCCCTAAACGGTCCCCAAACCCAGGGGTACAACCTTAGGGGTCCAAGGTAGAACCCCTTGAAGATAAGTACCCTAAACCCCAAACCCTTACCAATATTGGGATCCCAGGTTCCTGGTCTAATTCTGATTGTAGGGCTGGGGTTTTGGGATTTGGGAACTGGGCTTCCCGGAAAATTACCTGCAATAATGGGTTTAGGGTTTAGAATGGAAAAGAGCATGGAAAATGAAACAGAAAAAAAGCTTCAGGTGGAGGTTGTAGAGGAATCAATGTCATGGTCCTCGTGCCCTGTATAGTGATGGTGCAGGCTATCTCAAGCGAACCTCCCAATGATATGTGCGATTAATTTGGCTACTACATTAGTAGGGACAACCCATATTTCAAAACCAGGTCATATCTTACAGTCCCGCTTGTAATATACCTATTCCGAAAGCAACACAGCACCACCAGCCCCTAAACTCCAAACTCTACAACAACTTAAACCAAAAAAGAACTTTTTGGAGTAATTGTTGGAGCAAATGGCAGGGCATTTCCATGTGGCTAGTCATGAGGCGGGTGCCCAATAGGAGACGTTTGTTGACCTCATTTTGATGAGATAAGGCTCATCAAGGGATACCAGCCGTGATCCCATCACCTTACATACCCCATATACAGAGCTTATATACCCCCGGCATAACTAGGTGGCCTGAGATTACCCCCTGTAAGCTACAAGGGTCCCTGTCAAGGGGTCTCTCCTCAAGCCCCGAGTGTTCAGGATTTTGGGATGAGGTTTTGTGTCTTCAGATTTCGAGGAAGTGATGTAGAGTTGGGTGGCTTTTGGCGTGTTTCTGTAGGTTCCCTTTGCACATAAAAAGTCCGTAGAAGGTTTTCGCGAATGAAATGCTAAGTGATGTAGCCCCACCAGCTGCACATAAGTGGTATGTCAGCCAGAACATGGGAGTGTGAATAAGTTGAACAAGCGGGTGAGGGGTTTAGGATTTCGGATTTAGGGTAAGAGACTTGCGCCAAAACCTCATTTTAAGCATGTAGCCCCCCAAGCCCCATGCCCCAAACCCTGCACCCTGTGGAGGGTGACGAATGCGGATTCAAAGCATGCAACTCTGCACATTCCCTCCCTCATACCAAAAACTATGCTAGAACTTGGGAGCTGACCCCTCGCTATTTGCGTACTTGGACCGGCAAGCACCTGAGTCACCCTAAACCCTAAACCCTGAACCCTAAACCCTGAACCCTAAACCCTCAATCCTAAACCTTGAACCCTGAACCCTACACCCTCAGCCCTGAACTTGCTGGTTTGTTGTACTCGGTTGAGGGTTTCGCACGGACATGAGGGAAGGATGCTGACAGTAGCCCTACTATAATCATATAGGGATCATTATAGGGGTTATATAGGCGTTATATTGGGGTTATATGGATAATGGAAAATAAAATGGAAACTACAGGCCTTACCTCTCGTTGGATCCCATGATTATCCTGATTCGGGCTTAGGGGCTCAGGGCTGATGGCCACAGCAGCAGCATCAGGTGGTCCAGGGTTAAGGGTGAAAGGGATTTTCAAAACACAAATGGTCTTAATAGCCAGTTAGTTGGTGCAGGATTACTGACAGGCTGCGAGTGGACAGCGGCCTCCCAACCTTCAACATCTGCATCTAAATTGAGGTTGGAATCATGGGCCGCTGGTATCGGCGAGTCATTTCTGATGTTGCCTATGCTTGTCTACCTATTCTGTTGCCTGGAAAACCCTACCCATACGCGGAAACTAGCTCCTAAACTCTAAGCTGTATATAGCCCCGAAACCCTAAACACCGTAAACCTTAAACCCAGGACCCACATCCAAAATCCCGAGACCAAGCTCTTTTTGTTTCAGCGCAGTAGCCTGACTTTGTCCCCTTGCCTGATTGAAAGAAGGCCTCTCTGTGGACTTCAACAACCAAGCCAGTTCTTCCTCTCTCCTCGCCACTCATTGGTGTGTTTATAGTCCCCCTTAAGTAAGTAGAATATGGTTTTGGGTATATTATAATAAGATCCCCATATACCCCATATTCTAGATACTTAAGGGGGACTATAAGGCTTAGGATTGGGGGCTTTGGGTTTGTGGCGTAGGGTTAAGGATTTGGGGTTCAGGGCTGAGGGCTGATTGGGGACTAAGGGCTGGGGCAGAATGGTTGTCAGGCTTAGGGTTCAGTGTTTAGGGTTTAGGTATCAGGGTTTAGGGTTTAGGATCAGATTGTAGGACTGACACTGGTCACGTTTGTTCCTTGTTGGGCTTCCAGGTTCATGAATAAAAGGACTGGAATGGGGACTCCAAAGAATATAGTAGGAATGCAGTTAGAACCTAGACCCTCCTCCTACCCTCTAGTAGGGCCTAAGTACCCACTATTAGGGACCATACATACATACATATATATATATATACATCCCCAATTAAGGGTACAAGGAGGGTCCTGGAATATAGCTACCGGATGTCCGCAGATTACTGGGATGCCCCTTACAGCCCTTCTAATGAAGGCCATGATTGCTGGCGATCTTAACAAGTAGTTCAAAGTCCTAAAATTAAGCAAAATTGAGACTATTGTGTACATGAACCACCAATGATCATTTGCCCCTGAAATTGGAACTCAACTGTGAGCCAGTCTCTGTTGCTTGGATATAGCTCGAGCAGCACGAACCTTTGCCTCTGCCCTCTCTGCATGCATCAAGGAAACTGGCTGGATCACAGGCTTGGGATAGTCCACGCCGTAGCGGAAGGTGTGTGCAGTTCGTCTACGTCTTCGAGGAAGGCCCAGACCAAGGAGCTCCGTTACTTTTGGAAGGAAAAACGAAATGAATCTTCGCCAGAAGGGCTGCGCATTTTGCTGTACGACCGGCGGAGCCTGAAAACCCCCAAATACTATACGTCTATAATCCTTATTCTACGGAACTCCCAAAACGGTACCCCTAAGTTCTGGAAATCCCCTCTGGAGCCTGGAACCCTAAACCCTAAACCCTAAGCCCTAAACCCTAAACCCAATCCGAGGGAGCCTGAAACCCCCGTAAGAAAGGCATCTTTCGGAGGCTCGTCGACTTTGATGCCCACTGGATGCCCTTTGGATTCAAGCGCCAAGGCTCCCTAGCCAGAATAGTTGGTAACCTGGGTTGCTGTTAAGGAACTTAACTCAAGTTACTGGAAAACCGATTATTTATTCTATATATAATATATATATACATATACATATGCACACCCACCAGGGTATCTTCATTTAAGTTCCTTAACAGCAACCCAGTAACGACGACAGTTCTGGGATCCATCGCTTGATGTAGGTGGCATCCGGATCATGCACAACACCAGCCTCCAATATTTCCCGGCATTGCTGCTGCCCTTGGGACTGGGGCTTGTGTGGATTGATGGGTTCCAGGCACCCATACCTTGGATATCGCTTTAAGATACCGTTGACATGGTTAAACACCATGAGCGTTTTGAAAATATTTCGTGTTCAGGATCACTTATACACGAATATGTGAAATGCTACGCAACAACAGCCCGGGCACACCCAGTTGAACCAGTTCAAAGTTGGCTCATAATCAACAAGGATTGACTCGAACCACTCTCCTCCCATTCGCCAGTCGAGGCCCAGGTCGGAAATTAGAAACCATCCGGTACATAAGCGCGAGATGTGCTTGCAGTAACCTGTCATTTTCAGTTCTCGCATGCAGCTGTCGATGAATGGAAACCCTGTTCGACCATCAATCCAAGCCTGCAGCAAACCTGTATCCTGGGTTGCTGTTCAGGAACTTGAACTGAATGAGCATGATGCGGAACGCCTATGTCTTTACTTATCTGCGATATGGCCGTATTATGGCAACTTAATTCAAATTCCTTACCTAGACCCACTACAGACTATATACCCTAAATAGGGACCATGTACCCCCCCATCTAAAGGGTACAAGGAGGGTCCTGGTAATTGCCGTCCAGTATCTGAAGACCAGCGCCAGGATGCCAGATGCTGGGGATCTGTTCGGACTTCTTGGTTCCGGCGAATGATCTTATCTCGGCCCCCAACCTTGAATATGGTTAGCTAGGAATGAAGGAATGGATCCTTATAGTAGTCCTTATATAAAATCATTATTTCAGTAGTTTCCATTTTCTTTTCCATTCCTTCATTCCCACCCTAAACCCTAAAC